CGAATAGTGCGTTAAGGCCAGGCTACGTACGTCCCCACACTGAATACTCTCGATCAGTCCCGGAATTATACTCTTACACATGAAGGAAAATTGTGTCCCAGATCTAGCCCAATTGAGGATGTGATCTAAGAAGGTTGAAGCGAGATTTTCCCGTCGTGATACTTGGAGAACCGCAGAAGAAAGGTAAATTGCCGTAACTCCTCAGCCCACGGCCCACTGCTGTCCTCCAGAGGAGACTGCTAGCTTTCACAGGCGATCTTCTTCAAAGCGATTTTGACTAGCAGACTATCTTGCCCCACCTCACCAGTGCGGGAATCGGAAGACATCCGCTTAATACCGCTAGCAGTGCCGTCCTTTATCGGGTGTCACTCAGGAGCGCGCCACGTGTCGTTGTCGAGGATCCGGAGGTATCTCCCGTTTCATCAACAACACACACGACAGACGAAAAAGAAGAATTGCCTTCGTCGAGCGCAGGAAGACAGTCTTTCGCTTCTAAAAAGCTGTATCACGCACCGGAACGTGCGCACTAGCATGCTGAATGGCATTGGAGTGGGCCGGCGCGTATTCCACAGTAGAGAAGGTGTTTCCCAAGTCAGACGCTCATCGTGCCGTCAATCCTCTTGGCATGGCGCCAGCATTGGACATCAGCCTAGAGCAGCCTATGACCCAAGCCGATGCAACATTCCAAAGCATTGCTGAGCGCTACGCCGACGGTGTCGATTTGGGAATGAAGAACGACGTCAATAGTCGCTTCTTTCAATAAGACGGTGGCAATTCTCACCGGCGACGTGCATCCTGCCTTTGGCCACATTTCGTTCCTCAGCGCAATATGACCGAAACACGAAGCATCGCCCAGTGCTGTCCGGGAGATGCGCGCGAGCTCGCATTGCGCGTGCGCTTGGCCACCTCGACTCAGTAATTCGCAATACAGGTCACGTCCATGCAGGGCGGCGAAGCCAATTCAGACAGCCGGCGTATGTGCTGTGGCTTGTTTTTTGTGAATCAGAGGTAGGCGGTTTGTCCGTCGCTGTGGAAACAGCCAGAAGTTGTTGCTGCAGAAACTAGACCAGAATTGAGCAGACTGGCAAGCACTCGAGTAGTAGTAGCAGTGTTCCATCGCTCAGGTCAGCCGATTTGATAGGCAGTGGAGGGTGGGCAAGGATATGAGGTGAGGGAAGGAGGAAGTGAAAAGAAGTGAAGGGAGGGCAATGGCAGCTTAGAGAACAACCGAGGAGAACTCTGGAAAGGAAAGAACGCCCGAGGAGAATTCTGGAAGGGGAGCAGAGGTAAATCAGCAATTAATTTCTGCCGAGGCCCAAGATGATCCTATGCTACCCGGATATCAAGCTTTCCACCATGGAGAGGGGAACTGCGACGGCCAAAAAATGCTCATCGTCAATTTTCTCAAAAAAGCATCACCCTCAGAGACACACACTAGCATTCGGAATCTAGATCATTCTCCCTGCGAAAGATTTTCGCGAGTGCAACATGATCCGTGCTGTGATAAGAAAGCCTGCCAAGCAAAGTAGAGCACAGAGAGAGAGAGGGAATTTCTCACGTTTCAAAGCGACATCCGGGCAGACAGGTGTCACAGCCAAATTTACGGAGAAACGTGTTTGCCAAGCGAGCACTTATTATTCACCACGCACTAGCCGAAGCAGTTTATTGATTTGTCAAACGACATGAACTTGGCCTTGATTGATGTGTGGGCAATGATCGATGTCGTCGTTGACAACTTTCGACTCAAGCAAAGCCCTAAAAGTATTCAATACCGTAGAAGCAATTCTCCGAGACCGAGACAAAATAATGAGATTGCAGAAACGTCGGGGGTGCGGGCGGAAGAGAAGCAAAATGATAATTGTCATGCTGGATCTGTGCATCGCACAAAGTCGGGGTTTAAATTTAAGGTTAGGACGGACTGTGAAAGTTAAAGATATCTCGTTCTTGCTTGGGGTTAGGGTAATGACCTTCACTTTCGATGCATCGTCGCGGCGACTCTGTGACATTGAAGCAGAGCTGCAGAAGACCTCCTTCACTAGACAAACACAGAGATACCAGTATACGAACAAAAGACTTACTGATAAGTGAAATTCTATCACCGCTATCACCACGAGGCGCTCTAGTCGAAATCCCAGCAACCAAATCCTTCGATTCGCGAGCTTTCCTATAGATTTGCTGGATCGTGCAATCCTTGCCACAATCGCAGCAAAAGCGGAAGAGTTGAGCCCGTGACCTTCCCTGCTCTTCTGAGAGTGAATATCATTTCACCAAATTGCTAGAGCATTGTCCACGCGAGAAGGAAACTTGATGCATCTGCGGACGCGCATCAAGGATTTACGGCGAAATTCTGCGACCGTGACGAAGGCTGTTCCATTGAGCTGGGCAAGGACAGATGGCCATCACTTGGGCGTGTACTGCCAAATTAAATGCTGTGGTCCGCTTCGCGATCAAGAATATATAGTCTACTTCTCCATCATTAGATCATAGAAGAGAGAGAGAAAGGAAGGATCTGATTCAAGGTGAAGGAAGGCTCAGATATCGTCGGTCGAAGCTACAACTCCTAGGAATCTTATTTGCGGGACAAACCAAATGGTGAAGTACCCATTTTAGAAAGGTAAAGAGCGCATTCCCCAGCATCGCTGGAGCATATACCTTCTACTTACGCTCGTCTGCGAGCTGGCATCTTTCGGAGCAGCATGTTAATTGGGATCATCGACGTTTGCTGATTGCTGCGTGCTTGTTTCTTTGTGTCGTCTGATGACCTTGTGTATTTTGCAAGGCTCCTTGAGCATCCTGCTGCTGAAGAAGCTTGCTGCTGAAGAAGCTTTCGCTTTATTGATTGCTGCTGCTGCGGCGGCGGCGGTGGCGGCGCTAAAAAGGCGCCATTCTTGCCGGCGTGCTGTCTTAGTCTCCACCTTGGGACTATAATTCTGTATTGACATTGCTTTTCGTGTACTAGTTTGGTCCTCGGGCCTGGAACACCGGCATCAAATAGGCAAGGAGGTTTGCGGTCCGCGCAAGCACGTGACAAGGTGGCCGTGGCTTCGGCCATTGGCCATTGCGCAAGGCAAACACGTGGTCATCTCCTGGACTTTGCCGTGCGGCAGACCCCCTCACGATTCGCTCCATTCTCCTGGACTTTGCCGTGCGGCAGACCCCCTCACGATTCGCTCCATGCATGGAAATTGCGCAATTCGATGGAGACCGCGATCGCGCCTTTTCAGGCCTTCCCTGAACAAAGGTTAAAAAGGATTCAGAGGGGCTTACGTCACCGTTTACATTGTAAGGCACAGACGAAAGGCGATTTTCTCGACAATGCCAGCATCACGACGTGGAACGAGTGTGCCACTGCTCGTCTACGAGATTCAAAAGTCTGCCAGTCCCTCCAGTCAACTCAACTGAGATCAGGACCTTCTACAGCGTCCTTACGAGGAAATTGCTGATACCGGTATGATCGGAGAGTACACGCCTGACAGCACAGCTTGCCCAAATTGGAGAGCACACACGCTCTGGTATAACGTATGCAAGTCAGTGAAAACACGTTAAATGTAGATTGACTTTTACTCTTCATATACTCTTCTAAGCTCGTCTGATCCGGTCGATTCAATGAGTCTCTGAAGTGCTATGGGATTTTCGTTAGCCATCTTCTTCCTCCATGATCACTTTTATCAGCGCTTGCCTGTGTTTGCGTTGTTGTGAAACTGCCGTTTTACCTTGCTCGCGATAGACGGCACTGTCAGCGCCTTTAATATACGACCATGCGGTACTTACCCATCCTTTATACCTCACTTTTTTTCCAACTTAGGGTTTCTCGAAAGGATACAATCTTGCAAAGACCTCTTATGTCCTTGAAGAATCACTTCGTTACAAGAGCAACAGTGGTAGGAGGAAATTACAACGTAGAACAGGTAGCGTGTCAAAGTGCACACTTCATACAGCTCATAAAATTAAGCTCGGCCTCGCTGCACTGCGATTGTGCTACATCGGATCAAGCTATCGAAGAAATTAGGATTTCTGTGGTTTTGACAGCCCCTAAATTGAACCCTTTTCCTGAAGAGTTGATCAAGCGCCGATCTTTGTTTTCGGAAACGCACGGCCTTTGGCCTAAAAGAAAGACGAAATGAGTTGCAGTCGGGAAAAGAAGGTAGACAGAGAAGTGCACGCACCTTTCTTCGGAGGTCTGGGCAGTGACATTAGGTAAAAGAGGGGAGAGCCTCGGGTGACTGCTGAGCTTGTGACGGACAGGCATCATTTTCGTCTCCTCAGGCGGTCCGACGGGAGACGCGGAATCAACCAGAGTATTCTCTCGATGCACATGATCAAGGCTTTCAATAGGCTGCGTTAGAAGCGTCTATGTAGTCAAGAATAGATGAACTTACCGAAGGGGCGTGTCTACAAGCCAATCTATGATAGCAGAATTGGCAAGTAGCTGGGCCGAGGAGATCCTCTGCAATGGCTGTTTCAGCAGAAGCAAATGTGACGGTGACGAACAAAGAAGATGGTAAGTGTCTCAATGTTATTTCATTGAGAGCCGTACAAGAGCTCACCACAGCCTGAAGAAGACTGTTGACCACGTTTTTCTCAGGAAGGTTGAGATCGGCGAGAGCGGCCAAGCTACGACTCCGTAAAATATTTTGATCTCTGTTGACACCACCTTCATCAAACAGGTGTCTATCAAAAGAGAATTATGTGAGATATAGAAAGCCTCAGCAAGTCTACGGCACTCACTTTCCTGTCAGAATTTGAAAGAAAAGGCATCCGAGAGACCACAAGTCGCTTTTGACGCCGTATTTTTCGCCTCTCAGCATTTCCTGTTGTCCACAGAAGAGGATAGGGACGGGATCAACAGCCACAGCTCGTGTGTCTCAAGCACAAGTTCTCCACTCACTGGCGATCTGAAGCCAGGCGTCTGCATTCAAGGAAAGAATGAAGTTCTTATGCAGTAAGCGCGGTTGCATGGTACGATAGGATGAGGAACGTCTGTGCTTACACCTGCGATGCCCCAATGTCCTTTCGCGTGTTTGTCACATACGATTGCCAATCCAAAGTCGGCAATTTTTGCTCGGAAAGTGTGGTCGATCAGGACTGGCAAGTGCAATCCGTGAGTTCAATTTTCTTTGAGTCAGCCTTCTCGCCACATCCACGATGTGTTGTATGACAAGCATAAACCAAAAATCTGCTCACCATTGGAGGTTTTCAAGTCGCGATGAATCACCGACACTTGGTTGTCTTGACCTTCATGAAGGTAATGCAACCCAGCGCAGACTTGTGCAAAGAGATTTCGTCGGAGCTCAATGCTGTCGCTCACCAATCGTCCATCTTTCTGAGCCTCTTGAATGAATGACCGAAAAACCGGACTTACCTAGCCTTGTTCCTTTGAGCCAGATAATTTTCTAGGTCCCCACGGGTCCCCAGATCCATAAGAATATGCAATGAGCTTTCGGTTTCCCAATGTTCGAGTAAAGCGATGATATTGCGGTGTGCCAATTTCGAGTGAAGTGCTGCTTCTTGAGCAGCAACCTTTCGTTGCTCGGCATTGGTGCTGACCGTGACGATCTTCAGCGCGAAAAGCTATGATATCTCTGGCTGAGCGAAGCTCTTTTCAGACTTGTTCGTTGCACACTAAACGTACCTTCTTGTCCGAAGCTCGCTCTACTTCATAGACTTTGCCGAAACTTCCTTCGCCCAGCAGACGACGACCGAGGTAGAGAGATTTCGCTTGGAAGGTGCCCATGTTCATACTGGTGCCCATGTTCATGGTATTACGAGGATAAGGTTATACGTCAAACAGATGGGTCAAAAAATGAGCCAGTCAGGTCCCGAGCTACATTCTGAACCTACGTCGGGCGGAAGACCATTTTTAGGTCGGACGATCTGCTCATCATGATGAGGGGCTGATCTGATCAGGGCGTGACACTGTGTAGTCACGTGCTCTTGGCGACTTGCAGCCGACAAGAAAAGACGCCGGCTGTCGAGCAGCGTAAGACCTTACGATTTTCAGCTCTGGTACTTTGAGCGGAGAACGGTCTATCTTTACTGCCTCTTACGCTTGCAGTGATTGACAAAGTGTACAATCTCATATTGACCTTCGTTTTTGTGTTATTAGATACATTTCAGAAACAAAACGCGAAATGATTCAAATTCAGGTCTGGGGACTGTGGAAGACTCAGATCCCTTTGTCCAGATTGTTCCCTTTGTATGATGGCACCTGGCTATAATAGAGGACAGACAAAGGCTCAGGTTGGTCTTAGATACGGCGTGTCCCCCGAGACACTGGGAGGTCAGCCTTCCGCTAGGGTCGTCTCGCAGGCCTTCGCTGGCGGTAAATTGGTCAAGGGCTTCAACCACCTCCCCGCAGCTGCCCTTGGCCAGGATCCGGCCGTGCACGGTGGCAGGCGAGTCGTGTTCCTGGCGAGCGACGACGACGCCGCAGCAGCCGAGGTCGGTGCGCTTGCCGAAGATCTCGGCTTCGCGCCAGTCAAGCTTGGTGGGCTCTCAGAGGGCGGCCTGCTGGTGCAGGCGCGCGGTAACAGCTGGGGCCAGCTGATCTTCAGGGATCTCTTCAAGTTCGACTGAGCAGCCGCGAGCGTTCCTGTCCCGCGGCGCAAGAGCAGTGACCTTTCTCATCGAAACCAGGGCAGCGCCGGCGGGAGAATTGCGCCCCAAACAGCCGCTTTGTCGCCCTAGCTCTCATTGAAATGAGAATAGTTCTGCCTTCAGATACAATTGCGCTGCGACGAATCGTGCTCGAGGGGCGAGAGGGCGAGAGAGTTTGAAAGAGTGATTGGAAGAGAGGAAGAAGAAGGGGTGGGAGAGAGCGAGGGAGAGCGCGATCGATGGGGCCCAGGCGCACCGAGGAACGTGTGCTTGTGGCTAAGAATGGTCAGCTCCCTTCGATGCCAAATAATAGAGGGCTCGTATTCTTTCCTCTGCAGGCCAGAAGAAGAAGGAGCCAAGCCTTCTTTTTGGACTTTTCAGCCGGAAAGGCATTCTATTTTGCCGCGTTCCACGGCATCCGATCTCGCATTCAGGGGCTTTAATTAAAGGGTCTGCCCTGTTTCTCGTCCCAGATCCGTGGAAGCAGTCTAAGCCATCTATCTATAAGGAGGGCGGTG